CGTCAACAAGTGCAAGATCTTCAGAGCAGGCAAGAAGAAACCGAGATCAAGGGGGTGGGCCCCTAAACAATCGGTAGTGTCCCGGTAGTCTGACATGTGTTGCCCCACCCAGAACACGAGACCCTCTGAGCAAATGGGAGTTACCCAACATCATTAATTGATACCCCTGTGCCATCAAGAGTGTACGAGAACGTTAACAGAAAGAGCCTTGATAAAAGTGAAGAGTCCTCTGCAAAAGATCAAAGGAAAATATCTTTCCATCAAGGTAGAGGACCCATGAACATCGGGTGTCTCGGCGCCTTACCTTATAAATCCCCAGTAACTGCACGAGGCCCTCAAAGTAAGTGGAAAGGACCGGAGACTAATATGAATGGCCCTTGACCAATTGAGCGTGCCCTGCCATATGGGGTCCCGGGAAAGCGTATAGAGCTTTTCGGACGAATGGGAAAAATCCATGGAGGAAAACCTGATCGATCAAGAGTACCCAGGCATGGAAGCAAATTGCGCAGTTGGGCCTTACGAGGAAATGCAAATAGATCAGAGGCAACATGGAAAGCTCCTTAGCGATCAGATTGACCCGGCAAGTAGACATATAGGGCCCGGGCAGCAGCGTAAGGCCTCTGGACAGCGTAATGAGCGCCAAGATTCCCCCCCCCCCCCCCCAAGTAGCACATTTTTAATCGGGAAAGAACTAACTTCGTCCATCCATGAACTCTTCACTTTTGCTAGCAATTGTTCTTAGTCGTCTGTAGGCCCAGAGGCGTCCATTTGTACTTTAAGAAAGCTGCGTCTGTTCGGCCGGTATGGGCCCCTTCGGAGCCTATAGATACTCTCGACGTGGTCCATGGGGACATGGCCCCGTGCCTCCCCCCTTTGCATCCAGCAACGGCCCGAGCAGCTTAATAGATGAGGCCCACCAAGAACATAGGGCCATCCATTCAAATAAGAAATACTTTCGACAAAATATGTAGGGCTCCCAACAATTGAGTGTGCTCGAACAGGTTGAAAAATAGGGTCCCCGTCAAGAGCGTAGGGCCTCCATTTAAATACGAAGTACCCGAGATCCAACGCGGAGAGCCCCCGACTGATCCGGTGCGCTAGAGCAGGCTAACAGATAGGGCTCCCAACAAGAGCGCAAGGCCCTCCATTTAAACAGAAAGTACCCAAGAACCTTTGTACATGGCCCCTAGAAAGATGGAATGTGCCCGAGCAGGTTGTCAGAAGGGGCCCGACAAGAACATAGGTCCTTCCATTTAAACAAGAAGTACCCCAATCCAGTACGGAGGGCCTCCGAAAAATGTCGGGTACCCGAGCAGATTATCATATGGCCCCAACAGGAGTGTAGGGCCCTAAATTCAAACGCCAAGACCCAATATACAGGGCCTCCGAACAATCTAGTGTAGCCGAGGAGGCAAACAGATGGGACCCCCGACAAGTGTGTAGGGCCTTCCATTCAGATAGAAAGTACTCAAGATACAATGTGGAGGGCCCCCGGATGTTCGAGTGTGTCCGAGCAGGTTAACAGATGGGGCCCCGGCAAGAGCGTAGAGCCTCCTGTTCGAATATGAAATACCCACGACGCGATGTAGACGGCCCCGAATAATTGAGTGCGCCAGAGCAGGTTAACAGACCGGGCCCCAGAAAAGAGCGGAGGGTTCCCCATTCAAAAAGGAAGTACCCAAAGCCAGATATAGTGGTGCCCCACGATCGAATGTGCCAGAGCATTTCATCAGAACCGGCCCCGACAGGAGCATGAGGCCTTCCATTCAAGTAAGAAGTGCCCAAAACCCGGTGTGGAGGGCCCCGAAAGATGAAGTATACCCGAACAGGTAATCAGATGACCCCGATAAGAGCAAAGGGCCCTAAATTCAAGCATCAACAACCAATGTGCAGGGCCCCCGAGCAATCAAGTGCGGCCGGGGAGGCAAATAGGGGGGGGGGGGGGGGCGACAAGTGCGTAGGGTTCATTCAAATAGCACGAGGACAAGGACCAATATGGAGGCCCCCCGAACGATCGAATGTACCCGAGCAGGTTATCAGATAGGCCTCCCTTCAACAGCGTAGGGCCCCCATTTAGAAAAGAAGTACCCAACACCCAGTATGGAAGGTACCCAAACGACTGAGTGTGCCCAAGCAGGCCATCGGACGGGTCCCCGACAAGAGTTTAGGGCCCTAAGTGACAGAGAATTGGAAATACCCTAGACCAATGAAAAGGGCCCACGAACATATCGCAAGTGTGTCGGTAGGTTAACCGAGGCCCACGTAAAGGGACCCTGAGCCAAAGAAAATACCTCGGCTATAGCTCACAGAGCCTTTCTGGCGAATGGGAAGAATCCGTGGAAGGGCCCGTGATTGACAGGAGTGCCCCGGCACGCTAACAGGAAGGACCCCAACAACAGCGCAGGGCCCTCCGAGCAAATGCAAGGAAATCAAGGGCAACCTGGAATGCTCCTTAACGATCAAAATGATCCTGCGAGTGTGCATATAGGTCCCCTGGAAACAGCATGGGCCCGTAGACAGTGTAATGGGGCTTAAAATTTCCGGTTCACAACTTTTCCAATCATTGAATAATTTTTGTACTTCCCATAGGCCCTTCACTTTCGCTCACAGCTGTTTTTAGTCGCCTGGAAGTCCAGAAATATCCAGTTTTGTTGCACTTTGTGTTAAAAGACTCAACCTGTTCGCCCGGCTATGGGCCCCATCGGAGCTAATGGGTCCCTTCGGGCCCAAGGGTCAGGGACCATGGCCCTGTGATCCGCCCTCCGGATCTGCCCCTGCAGCTTATGTATAGTATTTCTGTTGCAAAAACTTTGAGGCGACATTTAGTGGCATACGACAAAACGTACTCTTCAACGATATTTACCCGTTGTGATTTTTACTGCATCCACTTTGATACACAGCCTTTATGTACACGCAACGTTGCTTGTACTGCTAACACTTATCCGTTTGGAGTTTGAAATGCGCGGACTCTTAGCAGGGTGTGAGAATGAATAGCAAGCTAGCAGTCAACCCCAGCTAGACAACATTCAGGAGCATCTTTTTATATACTTTCCGGGGCCTAAGTCCCCAGTGCTGACTCCCCCCCCCCCCCCCCCACCCAACGCTCTTCTAAGCCCCAGCAATGCATATGAGCAAAGAGGGAATCTTGGGCCACATGACTGCAGTGCAAATATCTGAACTATTGGCATTCTAGGTAGTAGGTACCTACATACAAAACTGTTAATACCATGCTAATTTTGTACTAAATAGTGTTCTGTTGGTACCTGATGTTGACGTGCGAACTTTTTATGTGTGAATTGAGACCCATTCTGACGCTTTTGCAAAAAGGCAGCTTACATCAGCTTGAAATGGGAAGTCATTCATCCGCATGAAAACAATTGTGTATCTGCGATATCTCTATTTTTCGTTTTAACACCGATGATGCAAATTCAAGTGGCCGAAATCCGGGGAGAAATCTTGTGTCGAGGTAGGTTAGGCAAACCATTTCGGCTGGGCCTCCCAACCGATGTTAGAAAGGGACGTCTTTGGCAAGACTGCAGTTGGAATTCGCTGTGCCGCTACGAAACATTATTGGTTCGTTAAGTTATGGCATTTCGTCGCTCTGTCGCGTTGGTGTGTGAGAAAAGGCTTGAGTTTTGATAGAAGGATCCCAGTGGTGGGTATGACTTTGGAAGCATCAGTTCTGCCGTGTAGACGTACAGCAATATATTATATAAGTCACTGTAATATATATAATTTCACGTTTTGGTGAGTACCACACCAGGGATTTGATCTCATATTCAGTCTGCGAGCAAGCTTGCCTATCATCTGTAATGGAAAGATGCATCACGTGCGAAGCAAACGCCGTGATTTATGCATTTTGGGGCAGGCTTTGGCTGTTTTCCCTGCTTAGTCCAAAGTTAATTTGAAACACTACGACACTGCACTCTGTGTCTATGTATGCTTTTGACCTATGCCCCAAAGGTGGGGCGCTCCCTCTAACCAATGAGTGGAAGTACCGAGGGCATCAGTTGTGAAGTAAGGCCTGTATCGTATTGCCAGAATGTCGCGCAAATGGCTTCTACAAATGTCATTTCGAATCGCAAATTGACCTTAAAAAAGAAACGCAAACGCAAACGCAAATAAACAACATGTTTTCCTGGATCGATGCATCGTTGACTAACGAATCTCACTAGTCAACAGACCCGAGCGCGGCTGTCCCATCTGTATCTTATGATGTTGAGGTCACATCCAGGGCCTCCGAACAAGCGCGACGCACTTTTATGGAGCGCCATCGAGTACATTGGCCATATTAGCGCCCAGAGACTGTGGCTCAACCGGGATAGAAACAACACAGTTTGAGTAGCATTCATTTGCGTTTTTTTCCGAACCAACATCTTTGCGAGGTGTACACGGTGGGTGCCACGGCTGACAGCAGTCCTGCTCATGCATTAGCGCCTTCCACGAGGCAACTGACATGGGTACACCTTGATTCACATCTATTTGCAGTTACTCACATCCACACGCTCACTGGCCGACACATGGACATTGGCCACGGTGAAAGAGCAGGGTGCGGTTGTACAGGGCGCATCGTGAGAAAGTAATCCCAAGAGTGGGTGGACCATCGCTGTAACCGAGACGCGCTGGCACAGGAGCGCCAGCGTTCTGCGTGCTTGCAGACGTCGGGGCAGACATCTCGTGACATTGGAGACACTACGCTGGTGGCATTCGCCGGATGGCTGTCCGGATCGGCCAGCTGTGCCTGCTGGACATTGGCCACGCAGCCCTGGCTTGATGCGCTCGGAGGAGGTCAGGCGGCGGGGGCCGGCGTGACCGTCACAAACAGCCTCTGCGTGGTCTCGATGCCGAACGAGGCGATGATGACGTTTAACAGGGTGACGATGAACACCATGATGACGGTGATGTCGTTGATGATGTCTGCGGCCATCTGGGTGGGGGACTCGTCAGTGATATCCAGTGCCCCCAGCACCATGAGGAGGACTCCGATCAGGATCTGAAACAGAGGACGGGCGTCAAGATCGGGTCCGGGTCGGGAAGTCGGGACTGACGTCGCCCTGGACCTGGAGTGCGGAAGGCAGGCGGAGCCGCAGACACCATCAACCGACTGCGCCTGGACAGGACAATGAGAAGCCAGACGACCACTCCCAGTGCACCTCGTGCGTGCAGTGCAGCCGTTGACCCGACGCTGAAGCGCGCAGTGTCCGGTCTCGAGGCCAAATCCACGGGTTGTGACCTCGCACGGCGGTGTGCAGCCTCTCCACCGCCTCGGCGGTGAGCTCCAGCGGCAGTGGAACGTCATCTGTCCACAGCACACCCGCTCCCTGCCAGGTGGCGCGTCACTGAGACGCCCGAGCCACTCGAGGCTCGACAACCGGCGCTGGTGCTCCCCACCCTCTCGGGTCGCCTTCGTCGCTCTCGGACGGACAGACGGACGCTTAGCACGTGGTGCGGAGGGCGGTCCGTGAACCCTCTTCAGTGATTCGGCCGCGACCGGCTTTGCCTTCCGCGGCGTTTAAGCTACATTACGGGTGGTCGCTTGTTGTTTACCCCATTGGCTATCTCGTCTCCAGAAGCCAGCCGTCGTTTGTGCAGTTTGTTCTCTCGTTACAGAGCATCAACGCTCGTGTATATTATTTGCTGCCGCGTCCATGACGCTCCGTGGTGTTTGGTGTCGTGCTTTTGAGCCATTTCAAGCTGTTTCTCGTTTGCTACCGAAGTGTCAAGACCATTTACGGCCCTTTGCGCGGCTGGCTGGCGAGTGTGTCATCAGCCATTTGTGTATCTCTTGTCATATCTAAGGACGTTGCCGTCGCTTTGTCACGCCGCCGGGCGGTGTTCTGCCGGTGTTCTTCCTCGCCGAAGAGGCTCCCGCATTCACGGCTCTGCGGCGACGGCCTGCGTCGGCCCGGCGTCGTAGCCGAAGCCAGAGCGGATGGCGTCGGCGATGACGGTGCCCAGGGCGAAGGCCATGGTCAGGTAGTTGAGGTACTCGCGCGGCCTGGCCAGCGCCTGGCTGGTGTCGCGAGCGTCCAGCACCGTCAGCGCCAGGTTCGTGATGGCCTGCAGGCACTGGCGGACGCAAGGGGGGGTCATGGGGAAGCACGCACTGGCGGACAAACTGGTCAAACAGGTAGCAGCGCAGAAAGTCGACAGGGGAAGTTATTGCAATTACCCAAATATTAAAAGCGAATGATTTACACGTGTCATTTACAACGTGGTTGTGTCGTTGCCATGGCATTCATGAACACACGGCTATTCTTGCACGGTTGAGATTACGGAGTGAACCTAACCATCGGAGCGAATCAAGATAACGTTTGGCAATGGAGGGCAAAGTAAACCCAGAATTGCGCTGAAGCGGAAGTGTGCATAGTGCAACCGTGCACACAGTCTAACCAACGCAGCCAGATGCCGCCTCCGGCGTTGGTTAGGGTCGAGCGGCGTCTCGGGTGCCGCATGTGAGACCGGGGCCGCAGCTCGCGCATCAGACGCCATCCCTGCGCCGACCTCTGCCCGATGTCCAGGTCCGAGCTAGCGGCTGACGCAACCGACCTCTTCTGAGCTGCCCGCTCGGCGCTCGCGCGGGAGCTCAGCAGACTCAGAACGGTCCGCAGCGGCAGGCACTGCCGGGCCGCGGCCGCGCACGTCTGTGCCAATCGTGCGCGGCCGCGCGGCCTCGGCGGTCGCCACAGGTGTCTCCGGCCGACCGGGCCGCGGCGGCGCCGTCGAGCAGCGGGTCAAGCTTCAGCCGCGCCATGCCGACGCGCGTGCCATGCGTCGCGTCACGAGGGTGGCCTCGACAGCCTCATTGGCGGCTGGGACAGCGGGGCCGGTGGTGGTAGCGGCGATGGGAGTGGGGGTGGCGTTGGTGACATCGACGGAGGCGGGGTACCGGCTCCACTGGCCTGGAGAACTCCGGCAACACCTGCTGTACAAACGCCGTAAAGCATGAACCTAGTTCTTTACCACCGGGCTGCACCGCTGTCGGACCTGCTTGCCAGATGGCTACGTTCGACTCTGTGTGATTCGAGTCGGCTGGTCCCGTCTAAGACGTGCTAAGTGCAACTGTGGAACTGCTTCGGCATCCTCACCATGGAGGTCATGGAGGATGGGAGGGAAATGCCGGCGTGCTCCGAATGTGAGAAGTCTCAGAAGCACACCGAAAGCTTTCCGATTCAGATGTTTCCTCGCGTCTTTCTCGTGCGCTCCTTTCACAGGCAGTGGACACATGCAGGGTTCGGCGCCAAGTCCACGTGGGTTGGAATGCATTGCAATGAAAACTTAGATGACAGTTTGCTTACGGGTATTATTAGGCGCAAGGCTGCGTGTGCGCTTTAATATGTAAACTACGTGGAAATGAAACTTCAGCAGTTAGGCTCGTCCCATTCAGATTTTTTACGGGTTTAAATCGTTCGAACTAGTGATCGTAACGCCATGACGTTTTCGACATGTGCTAGCGCAGTTTGTCATCACATGTGCCGTCCTATCCTCAAAGCAACTTGGAAGATTTAATGCAGCTGTTAAGCCAGGTGCTCTTTTCTTGCAGCGTTGCAATATTGCCAGTATTTAACCGGTCACATTCGATCAACATGGAAAACGTAAAATGCACACAATTCGCAACAAGCTGAAAAACGCGATTCAAATGACCAATGAGGCCCAGATTTCGGTGACTAGGCCCCGCAACAGCATGAAACTAATACTGACAGAGGAGAAAATGAACAATCGTGCTGGCAAGCGTGAGGGTCTACGTGCGCCGGCTATGACACGAACTGAGCGCACGCAATGGATCCACCTACTTTCGGTAATGCTCGGAGATGAATGTCGGACCTCAGCAGGCAGAGCCCGTAGGTACTTGAAACCAGCTGTGTGGTGTAGGCGAAACCAGCTGTGTGGTGTAGGCGAAACCAGCTATACGGTGTAAGCGTAACCAGCTGTGTGGTGTAAGCGAAACCAGCTGTGTGGCGTAAGCGAAACCAGCTGTGTGGTGTAAGCGAAACCAGCTGTGTGGTGTAAGCGAAACCAGCTGTGTGGTGTAAGCGAAACCAGCTGCGTGGCTCAAGGGAAAACAGCTGTACGGTGTAGGCGAAACCAGCTGTGTGGTGTAAGCGAAACCAGCTGTGTGGTGTAGGCAAAACCAGCTGTGTGGCGCAAGGGAAAACAGCTGTACGGTGTAGGCGAAACCAGCTGTGTGGTGTAAGCGAAACCAGCTGTGTGGCTCAAGGGAAAACAGCTGTACGGTGTAGGCGAAACCAGCTGTGTGGTGTAGGCGAAACCAGCTGTGTGGCGCAAGGGAAAACAGCTGTACGGTGTAGGCGAAACCAGCTGTGTGGTGTAGGCGAAACCAGCTGTGTGGTGTAGGCAAAACCAGCTGTGTGGTGCAGGCGTAACCAGCTGTGTGGTGTAAGCAAAACCAGCTGTGCGGTTTGGCATGCGATCTCAACGCTCTAGCTGGTAGGTGGATCAGTAATTAACCGGAAAGCACCGACACCACCTTTTCTGCAAACAACCTTAAATACAACAGGATGTGGCCTAGACTTAGAACAAACGGCATCAGAACCCCAACGGGGCTGGTGATATACCAGTCTGTAGTTTGCCTTCACAAATTACATCCTGCCCGAGCACCGGCTTGCCACCCAGGCGTCAAATCCAGAGTACGCTGCTGGGCAGACCTTATGCGATAATGTTCGTTAAGTGATAAAGCTGTCGTGTCTGCATGTGCAGTTGGTGTGATGACTTGTGTGCGACAAATTATTATAGTCATTAAAGGCGCCCTCCGAGCGATATCTCAGGAAAGGTCACTACAGTCTGACGCCGGTGACGTCCGAAGTGACGCGCGTTCCGCCACCGTGGACGGGCCTGTCATCGTCGACGGGGACGTCAGGGCAGAGGAAGATGGGGTACTCAGAGAACAAGGCTGGGACAACCGCCGTCAGGGCAGAGGGAGATGAGATACTCAGAGAACAAGGCTGCCACATCCGCCGTCAGGGCAGAGGGAGATGAGGTATTCAGAGAACAAGGCCGCGACAGCCGCCGGTCCCTCAGCAGTCAGGGCGGCTGCAGGTATCGTCACAGTCTGCGAGGCCCTCGGCGTGGCCTCACTGGAGTGGCGACAGCGGCCGATCCTTCAGCGGTCCGTACAGCGGTCGGCCTCATAAGAGCTGGACCGGCAGCTGCAGTCCCGCCACTCGCTGGGGCTAGCTCGTACTCATTAAACAAGCAGAGCCGTGCGGCGGTCAGCCTCATAAGAGCTGGACCGGCAGCTGCAGTCCCGCCGCTCACTGGGGCTCACCCGCACTCATTAAACAAGCAGAGCCGTGCGGCGGTCAGCCTCATAAGAGCTGGACCGGCAGCTGCAGCCCCGCCGCTCACTGGGGCTAGCTCGTACTCATTAAACAAGCAGAGCCGTGCGGCGGTCAGCCTCATAAGAGCTGGACCGGCAGCTGCAGCCCCGCCGCTCACTGGGGCTAGCTCGTACTCATTAAACAAGCAGAACAAATACCACTGGTGCCACCTTCCTCATCCCACGGGATTAAACATGATGAATGGAATGGTAGAGGGCGCCCGCGTTATAACTGAGACGCTTCGGGCGATCACCGGCTTAAATGCTCACAACTCACAACTTATTCTTACACAAAATGAACCAAAATAGTGCGGACGAACAATGAAGTTTCACAGTTCCAACGGTTGACTGTGTCCACATAGGCTTCCTGTTATTATGAAATTATTACACAAAATGTAGCATATATCTTATCTTATTGCAGCTTTTTACGCGATGGTCGTAACCGTTCAGGCCCTCTACATTTTCAAACCCAGCCAACGATTGCTCTGTGACTGATGTGCGCATCACTTATTCAGAACACGTGATTAATGGCACCACCACACGATAGTTGTTTATTGAAGAGATAAAACCTGCCTCTCGGTGACTGCACTGACATCTCCAGGCAGAATGTTAAAGCCGGCGAGTACATTAGACCTGAGTCCCTCCGGTAATCGCTAACTTCTATCACACATAGCCCAGCTATAACAAAGTCACATGCTGTCACAGCATTCCAGAATACTGCGCCGTCCAAACGGCGTTTTTGTGCTGCGTGCTTTACAAGCCAAACCTTTACCAAGTGCTCAAAGAATTCGGTATCACTACAGGAACTAACAGGATATAAGATAATCCAATATCCGCTGCCAAATTCACATCAACACTTGACCTGGTTTCATTTTTATGATTCAAACACGACAGAATAATTAAAACGCTTGCTCGCGCCTATGTCTCCGCCAGCGGCGCCACCCTCCGGGACCATGGGCACCGCGGCAGCCGCGATCGGTCCGCGCGGCCGCGCCCCCGTATACTGCCTCAAGGCACGCCTTCCCTACTCGTCGGCCGGACATCGAAGGCCGATATCAGCACGTTGGTGGTCGTAATGACAAACACGAACGCCAGCGACGTGTAGTTGATTGCGTTTGCCGATTTGGCGTACTCGTCCCGGTCCAGGCGGCAATCGCGCAGCAAGTTCAAACTCAACGACAGCACGCCGATCAGCACCTGCAACGGACGACGTCACGCCGTTAGATGGCAGGCCAATCGCGACCCGTGACGGCGCTGCTGTCGTTGAGAGATTTGAGCCGGCTTGGTGGACCATGGCGGAGACGCGCGCCGCACGCCATATTGCGATAGTGTGCCGCGGCCGGAGCGAGCCCGGCCGTCAGCTGGCGTTGCCAAGAGCGGTCTCGGTAGGCCGCGGACCGACAATGCTGCCGTGCCCGTAATGATGGACGCGTTATTGACTCGCCGTTGCCGGCGACCAAGCGATCAGCGAGGGAAGCGGATGCCGCCACGCGCCGTTACGCCCCTGGAGGACGCTTAGCAGAGCTTTCCTTTTCGTGCGTTGCATACAACAATCCTCTAAACCCGTTCTATATTGTTCCAGGGCACTGTGAGAGAGAAACGCTCTGTTTTCAGGAGCACCGGTTTTTCTGTTGAACTGGGTGCTGCTTTTGGCGCGTGCGCTGCACTCGTCCGGCTTCAACCTTCGACCTGCATTTAAGCCTTTCGACAGTTTTCGTGAAGGCGCAATGTTCTCAGTAATCTGCCCGTACAAAACTCCCAACACCAAGCATTCTTTGCGACACTTGGCTGATTCCAAAAACTCCAAGGTCTTAGCCAACAACGTCGCGCTAACGAGGTCACTACTATGCCAACAGTTCACTTCACCACCACACACTTAATCCCCGATGCGAAGTCCGTGCAAGCAACGCACTCAGTGCTCAAAACCCAATTAAGCGGAAAGTAATCAGAGGTTTACCGGGATACAAGCCAACCTTCAAACTCTGTTCCAGCTTTGATGGCACACAGGCCATCACCTGTTACGTCCTCAGCAAGACAATCAGTTCCAGCGCGAACACGTTTCCTCTGATAACATGCGGTTTGTGAACTTAATGCGTTCGGCCTTGCAGACGCAGGCAACGCCCGACGCGGTCCAAGCGAGCCTTTCACTGGAAGCATCGGACCACGGACAATATCCGGCACCGACGGCGGCGGACCGTGGAGAACACCCAGCGCCGCGTGGCGCGTGCTCCAGCACACAGCTCTCGAGCGGCAACAGGAAACCCTTCTCAAGGACGCACAGCCCGGGGCGGGCGCTGCCACCGGCTGGGCTGCCTTCCCGCCGCGCTTCATAACAGGGTCTTTGTGGTGCTTGCAGCGGGGTGCTGTTGACAGGGGAGAGAGGACATTTGGGAGTGTTTGTGTGGGCCAGCTGTCAGAACAGGGATCTTTCAATCGTAAGGTGTTGCTAGTATGCCTAATTTGACGACAGATCGCGTGGCAGGATTGTCACTTTGCCATAGCTGTTGCATACCATACCACACATGCCTGGATACCTCTGTGCAAACATGCCTGTGGCTCAGTGTCGCACATCACCAAAGACAACAAATGGCATGCATGAAATAGCAACCGCTGCCATGGGAATTAACAGTTACGTTTAAAACGTGTTTTAAGGATTATGCCGCCTCGCCATACCTCGCAGTAGCTCATGGAGATTTTGAGACAACGGGTTATATCGGTTTTTATTTGACTCTGGGCCTGTGCTCTTACGAACCAGTATGGATATAACATACAACATGGGTGGTTTTCATTTTCAGCTGAAAATTATCGTTCCCAGGGAGCTGAAGCCGACAATCTGTAGTTAGCTATCAAGCTACATAAACTCTTTCTAAATGTGTTTATCTACTGTGATCTTATTGGTGCAGCTTTACGGGTCCTTCGTGTAAAAGGTGTTTCTATCATTTGCATGCACTTCACATATATATTCCCAGCCTTAGTCACATTATACCGTTGTCAGACGGGATGTATAAATCCCAAACGGGTGGCGACTGCTGGCCAAGGTCGCGGCTCAGAAGGCTAAACGTTCCAAACGCAATCGCTCTGTTTTTGGTTACAGCATGACAGTCTGCAACCACTGACGAGCAGCCTGGAAGTGCATTTGTGCGGCAAGCAAGCCGAATGCATAACATGCCACCCACAGCATGTCAAAGCGTGCCACCTACGGTACGAAACACGAGATGCCCTGCAAGTTTTGGGTGTTTGCAAGCCGCGCTCGCCTCCTGTTGTCGTCGCTGACACCTTACCTGCAGGATGATGCTGACGCTGATGAGGGTGACCATGAGGGTGTAGAACTCGTGTTGCTCCCCCACCTGCAGGACGTAACGCAGCTGCGAGGCGTTCGCCGTCAGCAGCGCCACGTCCAGCATGCCCTGCGCGATGGTCTTCTTGGTAGCGTACCGGTTGGCATCCAACGGCTTCCGCTGCGGGACAGAGGCGTGCGGATTAGCACAGCACACACCGCCAGGGTGGACTCTGGTCAGGAGAGCTGTCACCTCCAGGGTGGACTCTGGTCAGGAGAGCTGTCACCTCCAGGGTGGACTCAGGTCAGGAGAGCTGTCACCTCCAGGGTGGACTCCGGTCAGGAGAGCTGTCACCTCCAGGGTGGACTCTGGTCAGGAGAGCTGTCACCTCCAGGGTGGACGCTGGTCAGGAGAGCTGTCACCTCCAGGGTAGACTCTGGTCAGGAGAGCTGTCACCTCCAGGGTGGACTCCGGTCAGGGGAGCTGTCACCGCCAGGATGGACTCTGGTCAGGAGAGCCATCACCTCCAGGGTGGACTCCGGTCAGGGGAGCTGTCACCTCCAGGGTGAACTCTACCATCGTCACCAACAGGACAGAATTATTGCATCATATTAGGAGTTGTAGTGACCCTCAATGTTTCGCACCCGTAATGTCTGGACCGGCAAGGTCAGCACTGGCTTTTGAAGCCGACCGACAAAGTCAGTGCCTACTGTTATGGTTACTATACTGCTACTTTTACCGTTCGTAGCCGGACACTACCACCCGACCGATTAAACTAATATCGTGCCGTTCGCTCACGCACCACACGCCATAACTAGCGGCCTTTGCACCTGCGTGGCCAGCAGGTTAGACGCCACCTTCACTCGCAGACTTCCGCGGGCCAACACAGCCAGAGACAGCACCACTCACCGGGCCAACACAGTCAGAGACAGCACCACTCACCGGCCAAACACAGTCAGAGACAGCACCTCTTACCGAGCCAACACAGTCAGAGACAGCACCACTCACCGGGTCAACACAGTCAGAGACAGCACCACTCATCGGGTCAACACAGTCAGAGACAGCACCACCCACCGGGTCAACACAGTCAGAGACGGCACCACTCACCGGGTCAACACAGTCAGAGACAGCACCACTCACCGGGTCAACACAGTCAGAGACAGCACCACTCATCGGATCAACACAGTCAGAGACAGCACCACTCACCGGGGCAACACAACCAACAGCAACACCAACCACAGGGCCGCCAGGCCGCCAGTCAACAGCTGCTTCGTCCATCGGGCCAATGCAGTCAACGGCACGTGCTGTCCCCAGGCCGCAGAGTTAACAGCAGCGTGACTCACCGGACCGGCATAGTCGACGTCGGCCACCCTGCCGGCCGACATGTCGGAGTGCTGGATGGTCTCTACCGTCTCCTGAGTCCGGAGCGGAGGCAGGCGCGTCTGCGCGGGCCCGGCCGGCTCGTGCGGAGCCGACAGCGTGGCGGCTTATCGTGGAGACGTCCTCTCGTCTCGGGAGGAAGGGCGGAGGAGACGGGGCGAGTCCCGCTCGCCGGCCCGGGCTTCGGCAGCAGAGCTCTTGCGCCGGCGGAGGTGCCCCGCTCAGCCGCGCGAGCACGCTCGCTTCAGACCCGGGAGGACGGCCGGTGACGCGGCGTGACTCGTCCTCCGAGCGCGCGGTCCTCTCAGAGGACTGGGAGGACCGGCCAGGCGCCGAGGACTCGCGTCGCCGCCGGCCAGCCCGTCGAGTCCGACGGCACGTCGACGCGGGGCCGGCGGAGCGCGGCGAGTGGCCGCTGGGCCGCAAGCGGCCGGCTTAGGCACGCAGCCATCGATTGCCGTTCCCGGCGTTGGTGGCACGTGTCGCCCCCGATGGGGGTGACGTCACCGCCAGGTACGGGTGCCGCCCGGAGGGAATATGCTGGAAGGGCGGGGCGGGGGGGGGGGGGGGGAGGGGGGTTGGTATCGATCGGGTGTTTTGTGGATAGCGGGCCTAGTCCAGGCTGTGAACATCTGTACGTTCCTCGCGCAGGTGTTTGGCTGGGACTGCGCGGCAGGGAGCCGTGTCCACGGGCCCTGAAGTTGCGTACGCATGGCGATAGCCACAGTCCACCAGGTAGAGTTTGCATGCCAACTGATCCTGCGGCAGTAACGATAAACAGACCGAGTACCATGAACGGCCGAATGATTCGCCGAGCAGTTCCCCGATTGCCCAAATGACGTGAATGTGTTCCAGTGAAGCCCGCATGTGCGAGCGCTTGACAGCAAACAAAGCAACGAATAACAGGAGCACAGCTACGGTGGGAACGTATCATGCTTCTGTTTTAGCCGTTTGCAGCTGAGCTCCGGGATGGTCTCTTGTTTTTTTGCAGGCTGCAGTTGTAGTGATCACGCAACCGAATACAACATAAAGCAAAAGGGATTCCGTCCCAGAAATGTCCCAAGCAACAGAGCAGCAAAGCAAACAGGCGTTGCGTTACTCAATCTAACATCGATGAAAAGTGCGTCACCTTCGAGCGAAAGTTCAACGCAGATTTGCCAAGCGAGGCAAAACTAAGAATGGTGCCACTCGATGCCAGCAACGCTGCCACACCACTGTAAAGACAGTTTCGACTGGAAATCGAACCAGACACAGCTCCAGAGATGCATACAAGCCCCACCGGACAGTGCACATTCAACGCTGACATGAGATAGGCGGAGAAACCGCAATTGACTGGGCACGAAAGCGGGCGGAGCCGAAAACAGACGTCATCGATTTGTCGCAGGATGACGAAATGTCCCGCAGGTGGATGGCAAAATGCTGAAACAGATCGCGTGGGCACCAACGCCGCGGCCGCCACCGGAGGAATGACGCCGAAATACGCGAAGCAAAATTTTTGAATGTTGGAATGACGACAAAATACGTCTAGCAAAAGAAGCTGCCGTGCAGAAGCGGTGCCATGCATTCGGAGCGGGGTAAAACAGTTTGTTGGGGGTGTCCTAGACAAATGCCCCCGTCCCCCTCGCGGGGGGCCTCCAGGTTGAGACTATACAATGGACATCCTGCGTGCGGGTGGAAAGAGGGCAGGGGGACACCCATAGCAGCATGTTCTAAAACCTCAAAACGCATCAGGTGCAAAAAGGCAAATATGGATCATTCTCGGGTCACGGAAGGAAATGGGAGCTCATCACTAAGACTGATTCTAGACAAATGGTGCCCAAATGTTGCGTGTTACCTTGTTAATACTCAATTTTGTGCATTGGAGCGCTAAGGTCGCGAAAAGCAGCCAATTAGCAAAAAAGCGACTCGGTTTGTTGTTTATTGGTTGCTGAGTAGCTATACATTTGGCAAATATGAACATCTTTTCTGAAATTGAAAAAAATTAAAAGCTACCGGAAAAGCCTCACACAAAACACCACCATCTTAAGGGCATCCACCGATTGAAGATGGTCTTTCGAAGTTCCGTATAAGAGGCGCGTCTCATCCGCAGAGATAACTGCCCCATGAAAAAACTGAAGTTGTTTACAATGTCGGAGTTGTTCCCGGGAGTCGTAACTATGCGCTGTTTGCGAAAGACGGTTAACGTTGTGACCATGGGAAGCTCCTGAGCTGACAAAGTTGAGCAGTGTTTACAGACGATTTTATCTGGTCCATAAGATCATGGTCGTGGCGTGAATACTTCAACGAAAAACGTGAACGAAAGCAATTATAAAAAGAGATCGCTCCTTGGGTTTCGGCAAAGCACATACTGAATAGGAGATGCTGCAACCATACTGCAATCACGTGCATTTTAGTGGCAAGAACGACGGTGGTGTAGATGTCACTGCGTGCGACAATGTCAGGCAAAACCACTCTATTAACACCATCATCACCGGACGAGGTAACAACCGTTTGGAAGAACAAATATCAAACATCATATCGAAGTCGAACAGCTGTTCACTACTTGTAAAGGAACGTTGCCACGAGACCCGGTGGTGAAAACACTCGCGATTGCGGCAGATGGTGTACGCGTGTCATTGGCTTAGTAGACATCAGAGCCGCTCCGAGGTCCCGGAACACAGCTGACCGATCTACGAGGTAAACCCGGTCAGTGGGTCCGAACCTGTGTGCCAGATCTCCTAACCACCAGCTTGAAGTGTGTCAATGTACAGGTGGTCTCCAACGGTTCCTTTTTACCCAGCGTCACCTGAAGCTTTCCGCCCGAAGGAGCGTCGCAACGCACGCTAGCGCCTGGGATGGACCGATCTAGTTCCACCCTCGAGTCTTTGAAGCCATTGGTCGAACCATGTACGTGCACACAGCCAATTGGTGGCACTGGTCCTTGTCGTCCTGGCACAGCCGAGTTCATCCATAAAAATACCCAAACACTGCATCAACGCTTGTAAGAGTACCATTCAGCAAGAGCCATTCTGCCCAGAGAGCTTGACAACATGCCTCACACGGAAGCCGTCTTGTTTTGCATCACAATGGCGGTAGGCTGTCCTTGGTTCAAGGTGAAACTGAAACCAATTCAAATTGAGCCAAGTGAGGCCAAATAAGATGATGAAACTTGATTTGAAACCCAGCAGAAATTCAACTTCTTTGAACAGAATTAAATGGTCTGATATATCATATGTTACGTATCAAACATTCGATCACTGAATCTGCAAACCACAGTGAAACGTTTTGATAACATTTGTGTAAGCATCTTGACCCCGACATCAGGGGCGTGACCTGATGACATTTCTGGATGACTCGCAAAGGTATGCAAAACCTTCTAGCAAAAGTATGACGTAGGCAGGCACCCGATTCGTAGCATGGGTGCGCGCGTCCGACGCGCGGAAAACCCGCCTACGTGAACACATGCTTATCGCCTTCGGTGGTTATCCTGCTTTTCCACAATTACCTAGATGAGTTATGCTCAGCACATCAGTCCCAGACAGAAGGCATTCTCGATTAAGCCGGTTGCTCTAATAAAGCACTGACCACATCAAACACATCTATGTTGATATCGCAGAAAACACGCATCTGCGCCTAGACAGCAGAAAAGCTCCGGAGAGCGCAGCCTGTTCGTCCAGCCTGTTCAAGTACGGACTTCTGACGGCGCATAACGCGAGGCGGCCCAATCTGTACCAAGATGCACCGCACACTAATGCACCTGTTAACGTAAACGTACAGCAGACATGAAATGCTGACCGAGGCCTCGCTCAAGGCACGTACAACACGCTGCAAGCAATCAGACTGATAAACAGCGTGCAACCACGTGGAAACGCCAGACACGCTCGCCGCCCCGCCGCTCCGACGTAAAGTCGACACAGTGGCGGTACCCACCTCATTGTCCTGTCTGGAAACAGGTCTGCGGCCATTGTAGCCCAGCGGCCGGCCGGAGCTGGGCCCCGGCTCCCGACCGCCAGTCGTCCCCATCTCTCCTCCAGCATCGTCCAGCAGCTCCTTGGCCATCTTCTCCAGCTGGCTGGACCTCAGGTACGGAGAGCGGCGGCGCTTTCCAGAGAGCTCGCCACCGTAGCTCATGCGGCGCGTCCAGTCACTGCCAGCTCTTCAGCGCCCGCAGCTGGGGCAGCTATGCCGTGACCGTCCGGTGCCGATGTCTCAGTGAACCGCAGGTCCGGGCGGCTGGACGCCCTGCTCCGTCTCCGGTCGGCTGGACGCCCAGCCCCGTTTCTGTCTCCGGTCGGTTGGACGCCCCGCTCCGTCTCTGTCTCCGGTCGGCTGGACGCCCTGCTCCGTCTCTGCCTCCGGTCGGCTGGACGCCCAGCTCTGTCTCCGTCTCCGGTCGGCTGGACGCCCTGCTCCCTCTCTGTCTCCGGTCGGCTGGACGCCCCGCTCCGTCTCCGGTCGGCTGGACGCCCCGTTCCGTCTCTGTCTCCGGTCGGCTGGACGCCCTGCTCCGTCTCCGGTGGACTGGACGCCCCGCTCCGTCTCTGTCTCCGGTCGGCTGGACGCTCTGCTCCGTCTCTGTCTCCGGTGGACTGGACGCCCCGCTCCGTCTCTGTCTCCGGTCGGCTGGACGCCCCGCTCCGTCTCCGTCTCCGGTCGGCTGGGCGCCCTGCTCCGTCTGTCTCCGGTCGGCTGGACGCCCCGCTCCGTCTCTGTCTCCGGTCGGCTGGACGCTCTGCTCCGTCTCCGTCTCCGGTCGGCAGACCGTCTCAGGGTCCGCAGTCGGCCACGGTCACGCCGCCTGTGAGCCGCCGCCCAGCCGGGACACGGGGCCTGCGTGCTGTGAAACTGCGGCGGCGGCGGCGGTGGCGGCGCCGGCGGCGCTGCACAGGCTCGGCCGAGGGCGCGTCGTTACGCGCGGCAGCACGCGCCCGGAACGCCATGACCGCGGCGGCGGCCAGGGCCGAGGGGCGGGGCAGGGTGCGGTGGGGCGGAAGTAATACCCGGAGGCAGCTGATTTCCGGGTAACAAGGTCAGGGAGCTGGAACGGAGCTGCCCGCAAAGTCATTATTGTCAACATCGAGCCCTAGTATCCTGTCACTTTTTGTTGCTTTATCTTCGCGGTTTTCCGTGATCGCATTTGAAAAAAGCTCATTGCCGTTAAGTCTGCTGTGATTCTCGGACAAGTCCAGTCAACCTAGAACCGTAAATGCGTAAAAGGAGGAGGAGGTTTTTCTAGCTGGCCACATCATGCTGATGTAATTTGTTTCAGCTACTCCAGCTTTGGTGAGCCAGAAAGGCCTGGCTGCTTCCGTACGCTGGCACCGTTGTTGGCCAAACGTCAGAGCACATACAAAAGCGGCCAGGGAATTCTAGCTCACCAAAGCTGAAACAGCTTATAGTACCACTGCATGAGCATAAATACCTGGCTGTTGTTTTCCCGTATGGACGGTGTGGACTGTGACGTAAAGCTTTGACATGACCGCTATGGAGGCTACGGTGATGTACCGCTGAGCGCTACTCATTCGCGCCCGATTTTGACCGACCCTCTTCCGGGAATCGACGTCGGCTGTACGGTCGCACTTATCAAATTTAATAAGATCGCAGTGCCGTTTCTAGGAGCATCCGCAAAAAGCACTCGACGATGGGTTTCAGCAGGCGCCAGGGGCCAACAGCCCGTTCATCCAGCCCAGCAGACCTCGGCCAGCGACGCCTGTCGATGCATCTGAACACAGCGGGAATCCATTCGCTGGCGTGCGGTAGGTATGGTCGCTGTTGCCATGACAACACATCGCAACACAAGAGTTCTGCGAAGGAACGGGACTAATGTCAGCAGGCTTTCTTTGCCTTCGGAACAGCTAAATTGAGCTGATTTCTGCTTTCTGAAGAGCACTGACCGAGGCGTTTGGCAGCATGTGAGACTGCAAATGAACCGGAAACGGCTGTCAGTATGCGGCACTGTACAAGAATTGGCCAAATGTAGCACACAGGCAACACATGTTCTGTCCACTGCTTTGTGTGCCTTTGCCTGCACGGTATGTGGGTCAGACTTGCACCCGCCTCAGCAGTTTGTGGAACGCGAGAACGCTGTAGAGCGAGCCTCGTTTGCAGACCGCTAGCGTTTCGCCAGGCCGGACCTAGGTATCCCGGCCCCACCAGCTTCCCACCCTGCGACGCGCGCGCCCGCCGGGCTATGGAGTCGCCCCTTGGAGCCCGCTGAAGAATACCCCACAATGGGGCTCAAATGCGCGCAGACTATCACGTGTCTGTATTGGATTTTCACGACGAGCACCGCGCGGCATGACAAGTGGTCTTACACAATACCCGCGCATGTAACAAACACACCGGGTGGACTCCCTCCCCCCCCCCCCCCCCCCCCCCCCTCCTTCCCCGTCTGCTCGCACGTCACCGGACGGCCATCGATTCCGTTCCCAGGCCTCGGGCGCACTGTTTTTACGGCGAGCAGCGATACCAGCCGCGATTCCGCGTACAAATGGCCCGGCCCGGCCACCACCAGCGGGCCAGCGACGTCTTGTGCCCGCTGGCCGGTCAGGACGGGCACCGCGGGCAGGTATGCCAGCCGCCATTCCTCGTACAAATGGCCCGACCCGGCCACCACCAGCGGCCAGCGACGTCTTGTGCCCGCTGGCCGGTCAGGACGGGCACCCCGGGCAGGTATACCAGCCGCGATTCCGCCCACAAATGGCCCGACCCGGCCACCACCGGCGGGCCAGCGACGCCTTGTGCCCGCGGGCCGGCCAGGCATGACGTCACACGTCACGCTGCAGACCGGAGGACGTCACACGACCGTACCAGTCGCTGACGTCACACCACACCAGTCGATGCTCTTGATGATGCTTTGTGCATGCGGCAGCGCGTGGTGCCGCTGTCAGCGGTTCGGTGTGGAAACAAGCGACACCTCCGCGTCACCGGTCAATGTTCTTGATGCTGCTCAGGATGTAGCTGCCCAGTGCCTCGTCCTGCAGGGGAGACAGAGTCAGAGAACGGCGCCAGCGTCGGCAGCAACACATACCACACTGTACACAACTCCCCGTCACTGGCTGCGTCACGACAGCTTCGCAGCGTGGGCGGCATATGACCAATGGAGCCAGCGCGCCCCGAAGTTGAAATCAGCACGATCGTCATCACGGTTTCATATCGGAACTGGACCGACAGCCGACTGGGACACAACTCAGTCAGCCGCTAAATCAAACTTTGTATGGCTCGAGGAGACTCAGGGAAGCAGGGCATCAGGCGTGTGTGCGGAAATGCCCCATGCCTGATGGTTAGACCACCAATTGACCCGATCGATCACTTCAGCAATAGCACAGGCACGCCAGGTTTTATTGATAAATTGATACTGCCAACAACAAAAAGAGATGAACCCGGAAATGATCACGATGAAAATGACAAACGGCCCGTGGTCGGAACTACACGAGCACCCGCTGGCAGCCGGGGCAGAAAACTCGACATGGCCAACTACCGACCCGTCCCGAGCTGGCTGTTTGCGACCCTTTCCCCACCGCGTCCATGCACATTTCATGACGGGCGGGTGATTGACCTCGTTCAATACCAGCAGGCTGCCATGCCGATTGGCCGGGCGCGGGAGCGGAAGCGCACAGTTCGCAGCGACGACCAGCCCCGAGCAGCCGCCCATTCATGGCACTGAATCCATTCATGCCACACAGCGTGCTATTCACCGCCCCTCACATGAAACGCAGTCCATGTGGCACACCGTTCTTAATGACTCGCCATGGAAATGGTCAGGCCATAACTAGGACCACACTATACTGGACCCAGTGACCGTCGGCGTTCCAGGAAAAGGCCCCGTTGTAACGTGCCGCTGGCTGCTACAGCGTACACAGTGTGAGGCACAGTCGCGAGGTGGGGGGGGGGGGGGGGGGGGGGGGGGAGGGCAGCGGCTGCTGCTCACCTGGTACGTCCAGGAGACGATGACGTCCTTGAGGTCCTCCTGGTCGGAGCCAGACACCTGCAGCAGCACGGAGCCGATGCTGATGGGTCCGTCTCCCAGGTGCTGTGTGATGCCCAGACGTCTGGCGCAGGAGAACGGCCGATCAGTGACGCCCGGCACGGCCGATAAGTGACGCCCGGTGGGGCCGATCAGTGACGCCCGGCACGGCCGGTCAGTGACGCCCGGCACGGCCGATCAGTGACGCCCGGCACGGCCGCCGACGGTGTGACAGGGACGGCGGCGGTCAGCGAGAGCTCACAGCGACCCGGCGTGACTCACTGCCGCCTGGGTGGGCGCGCTCGAGGCACGCAAGCACTCACGCACGCACGCACGCACGCACGCACGCACGCACGCATGCACACGCACGCACACACGTACAAGCACACACACACGCACACACACACACACACACACACACACACACACACACACACACACACACACACACACACACACACACACACACACACCACACACACACACACACACACACACACGCACGCACGCACGCACGCACGCACGCACGCACGCACGCACGCACGCACGCACGCACGCACGCACGCACGCACGCACGCACGCACGCACGCACGCACTCACGCACTCACGCACGCACGCACGCACGCACAGCCCACGGCACGACGGAGTCCCTCTCGCGACAGGGAGCACAGGAGGCGCGGTACCCCACAAGGCGACAAACAAAGGCTTGGCATGGGCAGGAAACGCCTCCAACTCTTGCTTTTGGGCGTTGTGTGCTCTTGTGTCGTGCAAAGCTGATCTTCGATGTCACATACGTTCCGGTTACACGACCCATGGTGAGGAGCACGTGACAGTGCGACCGGTGTGTTCCACGGACACGGACACGGACACGGACACGGACACGGACACGGACACGGACACGGACACGGAGACGGACACGGACGCGGACACGGACCCACCCAGGCGCACATGCACACCCTTATGGCGATGGATCAGGGAAAAACAAGAGAAACGGGGTGATCAGCGTCCCCCACCACCACCATCTGGAGCTGTGACTCACGGCGAAGGCGGGGCTGATTGGCGTCGTGTGACCAGATTTAATACGCAATACAACGATCTTGGGGAACTGAAGCCGTAAATCAGAACAATCGCAGGCATCACCAGCACAACACAATGCACGTCCAACTTTCTCTGTAAATCGGCCAACCAGGGGAAGGGATTCAAAATGGTCAAAAATGGCGCAACGCAACTTAAAGACGGTCCGAAATACGCACAACAAATTCCGCTTACGGTAATTATAATAGATTAAAACATTTCTTACGTGACGAAATGCCTAAACTGAAAGCACCATGACGTGAAGAACTCATCGAAATTGCTGACCTGCAGTCAAAACTATGAGCGAACTGCCTATTTCACCAATTACTCTGGCCTAGAGCGAGTTCGACTATCCCAAAAAGGACAAATCGCACAATTATTCACATAGCACACTGCGTATGAGGGTTGAAAACCAAATTATATTATGTTAATTATGATGTCCATCTAATGTCAAGGTTCCATCACCTTACAAATTGTGAGGCGCCTAATTTCGTGGCCAGGCGGTCTTCTCCGCGCTAATGTATGCACCTGACCCGGCCGAGTCACAACTGAGCCATACAGCGACGCCTGGCAGCGTGGCGCCGCTGCCGGACGTCTCCCTGGCGGAGGTGCCGGCTCATGCTCGGAACATGTACTGGTGCCATCCACAGTATACTTGTGACCGTTAGGGTTTCGCGGTAAGAACATAAAAACAAGAGGTCGACGGCTACCACCTGGCTGACGCACACGCACACGCGCCCGCTAAGCCCAGCAGCCTGAAGACTCACAGTAGAGCAGTGTAGCCGCAACTAAACTGGCCCAAATACTACACTGGGTGCCGGCGCATGCCAGGTGGTGCCCCAGGTGGCGGGGCGACTACGAAGGAGGACGGCGAGCCGCGGCAGATCCGACGGCAGCGAGCTGTGCCGCAGCGGAGCGCGGCCGTCTCCGCGTGGGACCTGGGCCCACACCTGGGCCCTGACCCGTGCGTCGGTCACTGGCCTCTGACAAACGTGAGCTCTGCGGCCAGCGTCTCCACCCCGCCGAGGCCCGCCATCGCAAATCGGCCCACCCTAGCGCGTCAAACACCGGGTATGGTACTAGACTAGGCTTGAGGTCGGCCTGATCTTACAGGAATATCCGATGCACGATCACTGTGTTCACGACTGAAGACAGTTGTTGCAAGGCTTATCATGTTATGAACAAAAGACAGGCCATTCTGCGAACCTCGAGGTAATAAGAGCGTGTCTGCCGGAGAGCCGGGGCACTCGTCACCCCGGAGCGTCAGTGAGGATGACACCCAAGGTGTGGTTTCCAAGGTATGCAAGGAACCCAGACATACCGATTCCGTGGAGTTTCAGTTTAGTCTAGAATTTAACGAGGTCGATCACATCACAGTTCCTGCTCACATCCAGCACGTAGGCGAGTTGGGACGGGTCTCCCCGGTCGTTGACGGAAACGAGATGATCGCATATGAATATCAGTGCAGATTCCGTCGAGTGACAATAACGGAATCCGTGTGCAGATGGGGAAAGAAGGCGGTTCTTTCATGGCAATCGCAAAGCCGTTGGTAAACGTCTCCGCTCTTTAATCTAGGTAAATAGCTCTACCAGGGTAGGCACAGACCAAGGTAAATATCAACCCGGATGTTGATTACGTCAAGTAGCACAAGACGTTGCGGGTCAGGACGTCAAGGTCTACAGAGTGGCGCGCTAATGTTGCAGAAGACGGATCAGCCGGAGACGACGAACTCACGCTTTGTGTGGCGTGGCGAGCTCGCTTCTGTTGTGGCAACCACTCGAACGCACGGTTACCGACAGACGAGCGAGAAGAGTCGCCGTTGTCAAGGAGACCGCAGCATCGCTCGATATAGAATCGGCGCGGACGCACTCGCCCACTGCCCCACCACTCGTCCGCTCGCGCGCAGGACGGGCAGCCGGTGGTCGAGGGGACAGGCTGGAGGGCGCAGGCACCGCGGCCGTGCACCGGGGCGGCGCGCGGACCGCCGGCGTCCTCACCTCTGCAGGTGGGTGTGCAGCTTGTCGATGGTCTTGGAGACGGCGCCCGGGTCTTGCAGCGTGACCGTGGAGGTGAAGCGCACCTCGTGGCGCGTGATGCCCAGCTCCGTACAGGCCGCCTCGCTCTCCAGCACGCGCACCTTCTGCGGCAGCGCCGACGCCGGGCACGGTCAGACGGCGGACCGCAGCAGAGCGAGCGGGCCCGTCCAAAGCACACACACGGTGGCAACGTCCCAGGGGGCATGACCATATGGAAGAAAAACAAAATAATGACGGCACGAAACATCGGCTTGGAATAGCCCGAAAACTGAGGGAACATAGCGCAATCTCCGGCAAGTGCAAGACAGTGGGTTCTCCTGAGGTGGGCGGCACGTGCCATGCGACGAGACAAAAGCGGCAGAACAAGAGTGGACGGGCACCCCCGGCCACACAGGCGACGCGGACAATGACGCAGCCCCGCGGAGCGAGCACACATCATAGCACCGACGGGCTGTCTGTCTGTCTGGGCTTTGGCCGGCCAGTCGTGCTGCTGCCGAGCGCCCGCCCGACCCACACCGCCTATCAGCCTCGGCAGCAGCGACCGCCCCCGCCGCAGCAGCCCCCGCCGTCCGCCTCAGCTGAGCCAGCGCCGACATCAGGGCTCGACCCCGACCCGCCCGACCACGGCGTCTACCCACACCGCCTATCAGCCCCGACAGCAGCGGTCGTCCCCGCCGCAGCAGCCCCCCGCCGTCCGCCTCAGCTGAGCCAGCGCCGGCACCAGGGCTCGACCCCGACCCGCCCGACCACGGCGCCCACTCACGCTGCCCTTGACGACGAGCACGCCGTGCAGCAGGCGGCGCCGCTTGACCGTGAGGTCGCCGAGCTCGGCCGTCGGCTGCAGGTCCCGCTTCAGCAGCGGCAGCGACACGTCCGCCGCGATCGTCGGCTGCGTCACGATCGTGCAGGTCTCACCGTTGGCCGGCTTGTAGCAGGCCAGCGACAGCTCCTGACGGCGGCCATAGAGTCACGGGTCAGCGCGCAGATCCTGCCGGGTTTGTGGGAGACGGCTGAAATCGCAGGGAGAGCCGTGTGCAGGACAGAGTGGGACTGGCCGATTAAGAGGAACACGCAGAGAAAGAGCACCTGTCTGGGTCGGTGAAGGGGTTACAACAGTTCAGACTACGGCGCTCGTACGGTTTGTATCGAGGAATCCCAGAGCTTGCCCCAGCGCACGCCGCGTTACCCTCATACTGGAGCCATCGACCGAAGCCACAGCCCCCGCGAGCCAACCCGAACTGGTGATATCCCACCCGTGTCGCCACAGACAGGCCTTCAAAGCCCGAGTCTGAACAGTGCTGGGCCCGCCCCCCCCCCCCCTCCCACAGCGCAGCACCGGCACCTGCTCGATCTTGGACTTGAGGAAGACCATCTTCTCGGCGTCGCCGTGCACGAGCAGCACGTTCTTGGGCTGGCAGTAGGTGATGAGCTGCATGATGCCTTTGGCGTCGGCGTGCGCCGAGAAGGACATGTACTCGACGGCCATCTTCACCTCCACCGTCTGGCGGTTGTCGAACTCGACCTTCTTGGCGCCGTTCAGCACCTTGTGGCCCACCGTGCCGGCCACACAGTAGCCGGGCATGATCAGCTGCCGAGCAGAAGCGGCGTTAGATGCGGCGCGTGGCCACGGCTGTGCGTTATCGATAAAAACAGAGAAGGGATTGTAGGAGTGAATAGGATCCGAGAATGTCTGGATCGACTTAGATCCGTGTGTCGCGGGCTGCCAGACCATGACACCGGGAACCACACGTGCCAAGATCTTCAGATCTGATATGGTCCGAGCGAGGCAAGAACAGACGCAGTTACGTGCGACACAAGGCATTGAAACTCCGTGCTCGACAGAATGCTCAGTGTTAAGATGCACCGTACGGAAATGACTACGCGCCGCTTTCGTATCTAACCAACTCGCTGCTGTTCACTTGGTTAACTGTAGTATTATGGGAAAACCTCTGAACTGCAGCGGGAAAAAAATCGCAGCGGGTACGTCGACTGCGCAAGGCGTCGAAACCATCGGAATATGGCGAATGCAAAAAACCCACTTTTGCCGCTTCTACGTGTCACAGAAGCGACTCCGTTACTAAGCTACAAACAGAGACGGTGGGTCGCTCTGCGTACGTGGTTGGTAAACATCAGGTCGGTCAATAGGGGGCCGCCGCTGCCATGGAAACCAGCGGTGCGTCACGACTCCTTCGCGCGGCTGGAGGCGCGCGACAATGAATAGGTAGCCCCGCGCCAAAGACCGCTGGAGTGTAAAGAACGAACACGGGCAGGTCACAACGCCGTGCGCCTGCCGACAGCGTGTCGGGCAATGGCCCGCGCGGCGAGCACCGGCCAGCACGCAGGCGAACAGCTCCAACGAAATACAGCTCCATCTACCCGCTGTAAAAGCCGTCCGAAAGTGCTCGTAAGTTCCAAGAAGAGCATGTGATTGCAAACAGCTATTGGCAGAGCTTTGAAAATAATAACACGGCATCTCCGTGCAATGTCGACATCCTCGCTGCGACCGCTCGCGGCATCGCTGCCATGGGTGCGGCCAGCGCCGGCAGGCGGCGGCCAGCCGGCGTCCGCCGACCATGCGTACCATGTTCTTCTCGTCGGGCGCCCATCGTTTGAAGATGTTGAGTGAGAGCCCGGCGTGCAGCATGCCGGGCGAGGCGAACACCACCATCGGGCCCGGGTTGTCCATGTACGACTTGTCGAACGGCTTGATGTGTGAGAACTCGAACATGTTGCGCTCCACGAACGTCTTCTTGATCTTCTGGTTGGTCCACGTAATGAACATCTTGTAGTAATTGTTAGCCTGAAGAGTACCGTGGCTTTGAGGACCGGGGAGGGGGGGGGGAGGGGGGATTTCAAATAAACCGTGACGCACATAATATTCCTCATAATTGCCCATCGCCGCAAGTAATTGCCAAAATCATGGCCGTTGCAGCCTCCATTAACGATTGTCGAACGCGATGAGCCGAGAACGAAATACGCCAAGGCCAGGACAGAACCTGCGCTTGAGCTTGTCAATATCGAGATCACACGAAGGTAACACAACACGACCACACGGACAGTAGGTGCTCTCAATTCTCGTCACGAAATCGGTTTCCAGGACGTTCCAAAGCCGACCTGGCCCTGTGTTCACACCCATGACTTTCTCCTCGAAACAAGGCCAGTGCGCGCAGAGCGTGAGCCCGCTTCACGACCCACCAGCCCTAGCGATGGCTTACACTGCACCGCCGACAGCGTTAGGTGTGGGCACGTGCAAACGGCGTGTCCCCCCCCCCCCCCTTCGCGCGCCACTCGCCTTCTCAGTGAGCCCCAGCGAGAAGTAGACGGGCACTTTGAGGTTAGTGCGCTCCCAGTAGGACTCGAGCAGGATGCAGAGCTCCTGAGCGCGGCCCAGCGCGAACACCGGGATCAGCACCTTGCCGCCGCGCTCCACGCACTCGTGCACCTGGAGAGCGCCGGAACGTGAGCACACCGGGCCTGCCAGGCGTGCTCCAGGGGGTGCGATCGGGTCAGGGGGGCGCCATGTTTCAGTACCATCACCGGTGAGGCATCGCAGCGCATCGGCAGCACCTTGCTAATGACGACTACCTCAACTGAGTACGCTGAGACTTGCGCTCATTGAGAAGGCATTACTGACAGCGTGACACTGTCGGCGCAGGCGTATAGGAGTGCAGATTTAGCGCCCACCGCGGCTCTCGAGCCATCTGTACACGCTGTTGTGCGTCGCCACGCTCCACTAGACCCAGTGAGCTCCAGAGCTACGTACCGAGCAGCGACGGCAAGCTCCAGCCCGGCCCAGCCGTGTGCCTTTCTCCCTCCGCCTCGGTCATCTGGCCCGGGGACAGGCCGTGCTCTTCATCCCTTTCACCCATTCCAGCGGGCGGGGAAATAAGCCGCCGCTTGTGTGCCGCCCAGTGCCTTCCACGACTCTTCTGGCACTGTCGGACCTGTCTGTCGCCCAACTGAGCCCCCGTCTCCCCCCCCCCCCTCCGGCCCATCCAGCAGACAGACCTTCTTCAGGATGTCCCTCTCGCGGCAGCGCTTCGAGTCGCGTATGGTGGTAGCGTAGGTGGATTCAGTGATGAGCAGGTCCGGGCAGCAGCGGTCGATCCAGGCGGCGCCCAGGTGCCGGTCCGGCGTCATGTTGTAGTCTCCCTGCGGCGGCGGCGGCCAGACGTCAGCCAGCGTCGGCTGACGGCCAGGCTGACAGCCGCCGGCGCAGACACACAGTGTGGGGCGGAAGACAGCCCGGTGGCTGCTGCAGTGCAGCGGTGGGCCGCGCGAACAGCGCGGCTCTGCCGGCCGGCCCCGAGCCGACACGCCAGGGACGATCACCACTCACGAGCGGCGGGCGAATGCACGCGGACGGGGTAAACCCACCGTGTAGACGACGCTCTGGTCGCCCACCCGAACGTGGAACATGGCCGCGCCCAGCACGTGGCCAGCGTAGTACGCCTTGATCTCGATCTCGCTGTCCACCTGGTGGAAGGATCGCGAAGCTGAGACAACAGAACCAAAGCATAGCACTCTTTCCAAGGCCTGGTCGCAGATATCGCTAATGACTTGTGCGAGCACACCAAAAATGGCAAGCAGACACATGCTTGCCATTGCATTTAAGTCAGAAGTGGGCTGCATTTTGACAACCAGATAGCTGCTTGAATGCCTAACCTCTCACTGACCATCAGGGCAGCCCACACTCTCACCTGAACCGTCTGGTGCAGGTTAACGGCGACCACTTTCTTCATGCAGTCCTTGATCATCTGGGAGGTGAAGAAGTTGGTCTCGCCCTTGCGTTCCACGGCCACCTTTCGCATATCCTCCTGCAATCAACACGCCGTTACGCAGAGCACAACTATCACTTTAAAATGCGACAGCGCTACCAGATCCGAGGAGTTTCTCCTGGGCACTCTGATCGGCCGCGTAATCTCACGGATCGGCCGAGCGTCTGACATACGCACACCTCTCAACGTCCTGCCCGACCTGAGTAGCAGCAATGGCGTGTGAATGAGCAGCGCAGGCACGCCCGTGGCCGGTCGGGTCAGGCCAAATAAGGACGGCGCTCAGCCGACGCCTCCCGACCAAACCACGTCAATCTTCAACTAGTATGGCAGCAGGACAAGCTCACTGCTTTCCAAGCACCACCGCCAGTAACAGCCAGGATCAGACGCAGCCGTGCCTCTCAGGGGCGTCTTGCTGACTGGTCTGACAGAGGCCCCCTCCCCATGTCAGCCCCAAGGCCGACCACGCGGCGCACTGACCAGCAGGATCGGCGCGATGGCCTTGGTCGGGTAGGTCATGTAGATGGGGCCGGCATAGCCCACCATCTCCGTCATGTAGGGCAGCGCGCCGCAGTGGTCCAGGTGGAAGTGCGAGACAATCACACAATCCAGGTGCTCGGTCAGCGAGCCGTCCGCGATGTAGGAGAAGTCTGGGAAGCGACGCTGCAACGGGCGCACGGCGGCGGCCGCCAGTCAGTGCTGGCTCGCACTGGTGAGTGCCCTAACTGGTGCAAGGCACTGACACACATCGATCTCTGGCACCAAGTACTTCTAAGCAATCAACAATGCTACTTGAAATGCACACTGGTGGAAACAGGGTCAGTTGGGGCCTCCTGAGATAGGAATTCATTTGGGTCATATCAGGTTGCACTGTTTTTCACATGCATGCCTGTCAGCAAGACAGCAAGCTTATTGGTGGCATCCATTTGTCAGTCTCACTTGTACGCATGGAGAAGTATTCATTCAGATCTGGTATGGGCATCACACTCATGAAAAAGTGACTACATAGCTCCATACAAGGCAATATGAGGGATGGAAATATCCATTTCTACTTAGCAGACATAGATGGAATGAAATGGGAAATGTCTGCACCAGACCAAGTCGGGTGTCAGATGGTTACCTCATCATTGTATCCCATATGCATTCCACAGTCCAGCATGATGTTCTTGCCACCAATGGTGACCAGGATGCAGCTCCTGCCCACATCCTGTCCAGCACCTAGACATGGCACCAGGTCAGAACACAGAAAGTGATGACATCACCATATCCATCCAATATGGCAACCACCATCACATGATACAATAATGGAGAACAAAATACCTCCAACCATTGCTGCATCTCATCCTTTGCACAAATGTATTAGCTTGCACAGTAATCTGCTGCAGCCTGAAATTAATATCAAAAGAGGCAACCCTGAAATATAAACATACAAATATACTGCACCATGCTTACAGCTTACCAAAACAGATCATAATCATTAAACCTTGTCAAGCATGTGCAAAAATGATTCAGCATCCAGATATATCATGACAGTGCCAAAAACATGCAGCAAAGGACATGCACCTGATATAGTTCAAACAGGTAATTAAAAAATCACACAGCATGGGTTTTAAATATGAAATCAACCAGAATAGCAAATATCAGTAGAAATATTCTGTTCTCATCTATGTAACCTGGGAAAAGGCCATAACCTCAACAAAATTATGACTGACTTATAAACCATATTCATGATGAGCCATGATAAGTTTACATCAACTTCACCTGCACATAATAGCCAGGCACTTTATAAGGCACTACATCACTACTTTTATTGTGCAATCTTGTCATCAGCCATGTCAGCGTCACATACAGATGGAGCAGATATATGTCACTGTCACTGATTTATCATTTGACTGACTTGAAGTGATTTAACATGACCTCGAAGTCAGTCATCCAAATTTAGCTCACATCTTCTACCACTGAAGTGAAGCAGCACATAGATTATCAACCACTTGTTGTGAGAGCACTAATGCCAGAAGAAGTCAAATGTGTCATCACAAGCAAAATAATTGTTCACTCTATCTTCTTTGCCTAGGGTATTAATTAGCATGTACATCTTGCTTCAGCAAATTGATCATCTGACCATTTTAACAGACTGAATAATTGAGAGGCCAAGTAGACACAGAATGGTTCTGATTTGTATTGCTACAACACAAGCCAGTGGACACAGTTTAGAAATGGGTGGTTTAATAATTTTTCTTTGAGAAATGGGGCCCTGCTCATACTAGTCTTTCACGAATACCTTCATTTATTACTGCCTGATATGCCTGAGGTGTCAGATGTCCTTGTAACTATGAAAACTGCCATAGCACCTTGCTCAACTGGCTATACATACCCAGTGGGGTGACTTTTATTTCTGGCATGATGGCTATGAGTCTTGCTTGTTTACAACATTTTTTCAACAGCCCAGCGCTTGGAATCAAAGATGTGACACCTGAAAGGCCGAGCTGAGTACGGCCGCGCTACGAAGAGCGCAACACCAGCCGGTTACCGGGGTTCTTAAGCCCCAAGCTATTGCGACAACACAAGCACTCCCTACGACTCAGACCCACGGGTCCCGCCAGCATAATAATTCACCGGGAGCAAAACGATGCGCATCACAATAGCCGACACGTGCGCTTCAGTTGTAGATCATTATTACTGCCATATTCTACCAAACCCATAATATAAAGGGAATTTACGGACTGCTTCCTGAAGCTGTCACTGCAATCATATGCAGTGATTGCAGGTACAAACAAATACGCGTCCCCGGGTTGCGAACGAGTTAAGGTGTGGAAGGACTCTTGATACATGTCGCACCTCTTTCCACTGCCGCCACCTGGTTTTATTCAGGCGGCATGATGTTGGCTGGCAGGCTAACCAGCAGGGCTCTTCTGTATGTCAGGCTCTAATGCCGAAAACGGCAACTGACAAACGGTCACATCGTGATGTTTACAACGGTCACATTGCGATGAAGCAAGCCTCGAATAACCAAATCCCAACGTGACATACTCCGGCATGGGACTGTTTAAATGCAGCCGTATTGCGATGTCGTGATTTCTGAACATAAATCATTTTTGCGATGTAAATCATGTGCGTAAGTTGTTCAGTGCATTAGCGAGGAACATTATTCACATAGATAAGTCAGCAGTATTAGCCTTGTTCCTTGCAGAAAAACCAGGAGAATTGAAATACAATTGGGTTGATATTTCGGCAACAAGCATTTGTCGAAACAATAGCTGAAGTCAAATCAAACACAAAGCAATTGTTTGGACAAACACTTCAGCCATTGTTTCGATAGAGGCATGTTGCCGAAATGTCAACCCAACCCCATTCTGCTAGTTTTTCTCTGAGGAATAAGGCTAATACTACTGCCTCATCTTGATGTAAATCATAGTTCGGGTGTGGTCGGCTCCCAAACGACTACACCACGGTACGGCAAGTTATGGTTTGCCATATAACGATGTTGTTTGTATGCAATCCACTGCTCGACGTAGTTGAGGCGCGTGCAATAAACGGTCACGGTAGTGTTTGGCGCTATTAGTTGGTTTTCCTGTGAGCTGTGCTGTACACTACTTTGGAGGACTACATAACTTATGATGAATGCATCGCGTTTGGTAGCTTGACGCTGGAACCAGGCTTAGAACTTTGCGTTTTTTATTGGGGGGGGGGGGGGGGGGAGGGTGCGAAGGTCATATACCTTGCCCATCCTTTTTCCGAGACGTATTTTTTTCACAAATGTTGTGTGCTTTACTCTGCGGCCACAAATTGAACCCAATATAAGACAGTCCTTCAGCTCCTAGTTTTTTGGTATCATGCGATAAAAGTCCTGACGCTGGGTTAACCACCTTCGATACGTCAGGAGGTACGGATTATGCGACATTTAAGTGCTTGACGGAATGTATTGACAGCACTCAATATTACGAGCTATGCACATCCTCAAACCTCCTCTCATGAGGATGAGCAAGGGATAGCAGATGGTCGATTGTACTTAAGTAATATTCGTCATAGACACCTCGTAGCGTCTTAAAATTTAGAACACCAATTTTTCATCCTGTTTTGGCTCAAAGGCGGGTCATTTGCTGGAGAAGAACCAGCCACTATTTGGCCACAGCACCTACCTGTCAGAGTGCACACCGCTCGTGCCCACAAATGGCGTCGCCTCGAGGCCGCTCTAGGAGGCTGCGGGAAGGCAGCGATTTTAACGCTCGGGCTCGGATGGGGGACAAACTGACCTCCCAAAAATTTTCCAGAATGGTTTCCTAACGGCGCAGCGTAGCCGTGCCAAATTTTGCACAGCTGTAGACAATTGAATAGCCGATCGTCTGTCATCACAAATTTAGACACATCTTGCAAGATCGCTGACCTATGGCAGGTCAAAGTCAAGCCATGGTTTCAACGAAGTCAATTTCTAGGGAATCGTTCAATCTGATGCAACAAATGAGTGTTGGACGAAGCCATACATCTGTGCGATGCTTTCTCAGCCAACAAAAATATTGAATGAGCAAATTACGATGACCTAAAGTCAGGTATGAGGGTCAGACCAAGGTCAAAACCAGCCTGTTTTACTACTCTAAGGCTTGCTGTATGGGATAGTTCCTGGTGTTCATTTAAAATCTACTGATAGCAGGAACCGCATTATATATCTTCCATGGACTTCTTAGGGGTCAGAATAGGTCATTGACCTAACATGGCCCTGGTCAGCATTTTGCTTTTAGCAACATACTGTCTAGCGTACGCCTTCTCGCTTATCCAAAAGCAAAACTGGGAGCAGTCTTGTATGATCTCAGTCACCATGGCCTTTAAAAGTTTAAACAAGGTCACTGGCCTTAAATGATCATGTGACCTTTTGCTTATAAACAGTTATCTAGGTTCTGGGGCATTTTGGAGACGAACGTGGAATTTGACCTTGTTTGCCCTGATTTGACCTGAAGGTCATGACCTAAGAATCTCAAGCTTTGGCCTAAGTAAGTTTACGTACAGATCAACACACTGTAAATTTTCTGTCTCTAGCTCTCTTAGTTCCCGAGATCTCAGGGGGGTCAGATTGCCCCCCCCCCCCGAGCGAAGGGTATCTAGCCGGCCAGACGGGGACGTGTTAAGTTATTGTTGGGCTTCTCCTGGAAGTACGAACCGCTGCATCGAAATATGATATTTCATTGAATAACGTGATGGCAATGCTCCGGAACTGTGTAATTTGGATGCCGGCAATCTGATTATAATCGAACAATGCAGACAGAGGTGTATCTTGAGGGTGGGTGGAAGAAGACGTGAGGCCATGCTACCCACCCCTGGGATCACCCACGAACCACCCCTTGGGCCACACCAAAACACCCCTTCAAAACCACACAGCCTTTCTTCCCCAGACACAGAGTTCCAGGAACATCGCAACGGGTCCCAAATTATCCTTTTCGACGGGGATCAAATTCCAGGGGTGCTGCTATATATGTGCCTTGTCCATTTGACAAATCCTAGATCGACCAATTCGGCAAAGGAACACTACAATCACTATTTCCGTCGTTATCTTTATGCACATATATGCATACAAACACTCATGCATATATATATATATATATATATATATATATATATATATATAAATGTACATGCATAACGAGAGATATATATCCTAAAACGATGTATATATATATATATATATATATATATATATATATATATATCCTGAAACAGTCCTTCAGGCAAAGTGCACCAACACCTTTGTTTCGAGACACCATAGCCTTTATTTTCAGAAAGATTCCTATGTGTTTCACCGTGACGAAACTCCTGATCGGTTCGGTCTTCGACGTTCGGCACAGTGGCGCCAACATTTTTTTTTCACTTTGGGAAAGTCAAAATCTTCATTTTCTAGTGATACCTACTTCCACTGGCTGTTTAAAGGGCTCCAAACATTTATTTTTTAAAAGAAAACAAATTCCAGGGGACATTCCCAGCCATTAGCGCTCCATTGACGAAATCATTAATCGGCCCATTCGGCGAAGGGACACCGAAACATTCATTTCATAGCGCAGGGGTATTTATTTACTTCAGGCAACAAGTCCAAGTGAACCATTGAAAGAACCCCGAAACCTGCATCTTAAGGAATGCCAAGATTTCTTTGCTTTTCATCCTGACCAAATTCTGAATCGTCCCCTCCCGTAAACAGGCACCACAAAACCTTTATTGCGGAGCATCAGCAACATTATCTAAACATACATCTAAATCTTCAGGGCACAGCAATGAGCCCCAAACGTTTGCCTTTCAAGACACACCAAAGTTCAGGGACACTACAATGCTCGTACCTCTCATGGGAGAAATCCGGGATCGGCATATTCGGCGATGGGTTACTGAAACTTCTATTTGGGGGCACCATAGCCCTTATTTTTGGTAGGCAATAAGTCCAAACGGGTCATTTCAAGGACCCTAATATCTCCATTTTCAAAGGGCGCCAGAATCAGGGGCTACACAACTTCTGTGCCTACCACACTGACTTCTGTGCCCACCACCCGGACTTCTGTGCTTACCACCCGAACTTCTGTGCCTACCACCCTGACGTCTGTGCCTACCACCCTGACCTCTGTGCCTACCACCCGGACTTCTGTGCTTACCACCCGAACTTCTGTGCCTACCACCCTGACTTCTGTGCCTACCACCCTGACCTCTGTGCCCACCACCCGGACTTCTGTGCTTACCACCCGAACTTCTGTGCCTACCACCCTGACTTCTGTGCCTACCACCCTGACTTCTCTGCCTACCACCCGAACTTCTGTGCATTTCACCCTGACTTCTGTGCCTACCACCCTGACTTCTGTGTCCACCGCCCGGACCGCTATGCATTTCGCCCTGACTTCTGTGCCTATCACATTGACCAAATCCTAAATTAGACCTCTCGTCGAACCTTTATTTTGTATATCCGATACCTTTATTTCGGGCACCACCACCTGTATTTTGAAGAGGGACCCACTTCTAGGGAGGCAACACGAAAGCCTCCAAGCCCTTTACTTTCATATGGCGTCAAACTCCAAAGGGCACAAAAGTCACCCCATTTTTTTCACGAGGAACTAAGGGCATCATTATCGGTTGGATAGGGACACGTGACCTACCTTATATTTTCATCCCCCGAGGGCCCACGAAGCCCTTTTGACCCCGAGGGAACGACACTCAAGGGTTCGATTGAGGGACCCCTAGCGCAGGTCAGAAGGATGAAGGGACCTCGGCCAGTAGGCAAAAACCCAACACTCCGTCCCGTGCCGGTCTCAGCCCTGGTCCTCTTTTCCAAGTCGGGGCGGGGCCGGGTCTGTGAATGTTAATCCGAAAGATCGTGCACTGGTCTGGCCCCTGCACGGATCAGGGGCTGAAGGTGTCTGTCAACGGGCCCCCTGTGGGCAATTAGCCCAAAGTTGGCCATGGGCGCATTTGCCGAACAGGGACAGGAGCGGGACCTCGAAGGTCAAAAGGCCCCTTGAGTTGGTCAGAACCATATTGTTAACGACAGGAGACATGAGAGATGATGTTGCAACGATTTGCACTCACAATGAG